GACTTGCCTTCTCAAGAAATCTTCCTGATTCTAAACCATCCTGATCAAACATCTCTAGTTAGCAAGAACAGGGAAGAGAGAAGAGTATGACTCTAAGCTGAAATGCATGGATCCACTGTGAGTGGGAACCAACTCAGTGGTAACAGGTTGGATTTTACGGTTGTTGGTGGGGAATTTAAGACAAAAAGATAATGTAGTATAATAGTGCTTTTCACATACAAATCAATGGATTAATTTGAAAATATACTTCATCTTCTAATGAGATTCACTTACTACCTTTAAAAAAAAATGATGGGCCAAGTGAAATCCACCAAAGATTCACTTGATATCACTAACGTCCTGATTTTATATTGTTTTGATGCATTCATGAATTATAACCATTAGTATGTTTTCTAACCTGCAAAAACAAAATTCTCATTTTAATGAAATGGTATATATAATCCTCCTGCCATTAAGTTTTTCCACTGTTGAGCATAAGCCAAGGAGGCACTGTGAGGGGAGACTTGAAGTGAAGTTGTTTAATATGGTTTTTCCAGCTATGTCTTTGTAACTCTCACCAAATGATTGGGTGGGGCCATGTAAATTGGGTATGTGACACACTAATGGAAGGGACTGGTCAGTTTTGCCACTCCTCTGTATAGAAGAGAGCCATTTCATAAGCAAAAAGAGAATCATGTAACCATAAAGAAAGAAAAGCCACCAGTGCAATGCAGGTGAGATCTCTATCTAAAGTGGAGGAGGTGGCAAACATACCAAAGACTGGAGTACCAAGCCCATGAGGCAGCGTGACAGACTTCCAAGCCCACAGAACAAGGCAGAGGAACCATGTGACTGAGAAGCCAAGAACCAAAGAGGGATGTGTCTGCCACTATGGCTAAGAAGAGATGCTGAAGATAAAAGAATTGTATCCTTACCACTGTGTGACCTAATAAAGTCCATCATTGTATTGTCTGTGAGTTCTGTGTGGCCGTTGCAATCAATTATTGAACCCAGCAGACAAATAGAGGGGAATGGGAGGTCTGGGTGGTGTAAAGAAGGTTGGAGGGTAGAGGCCTCCTTCTCCCTATTATAGCTGGAGGACACCGTATGTCGTCCCTCTGCTATTTCCTCAACCCCTCCTAGATCTAACAATGGATTGGATAATTTGTATGTTAATAATGCAATAATTGTATGTTGTCAACCCCAATCTCTATGTACTGTAAATCTCAGAGTTTCAGATCTGTCAGCTTGTAGTAGTTAGATTGTATGCCAGCTTGATGGTACCCATGCGGAGATAGGAGTGGATGCAGCCTGTCATCAGCCTGGTGGTACCTCCTTGGGGGTGTGGCCTTTTTATAAAAAACAGTGAGAATGTCTCTCTCCTGTTGCCCTTTACCCTCTCTGCTTGCTGGGCTTCTATGTCTGACTCCGAGGTGACCCCATGTGGACCACTGACCCTTGGGGAGCCAATGTGGGTAGGTACCCTGCCATGTTCCCATCCACCTTGGATTCATGAGACCACACCCACTGGCCTATGACCTCCCTGCTTCCCATTTTACCTTTTTTGACTCATCAGCCTACAGCTGCATGAATGTGAAGAAGACCCCAACTAGCATCAGACCCGTGGTCTTGAGTTGGACTGGGCTGGGATGCCTTCTTGGTATAAAATTGCTTCTTGATATATAAAGTTCTTTCTTCTACATATGTGAGTGTCACTGGTTTTGTTTCTCTAGACAACCCAGCCGAACACACAACTCCAGCATTTCCACGTACACATCTAGCAAGACTCTCACAATCACCAATTCTGAAACACGGATCTCCTCTGTCCCTCCTGCGAGCTTGCGCATGTCAGGAGATGGACTGCTCCTCACTGAGTTGTTTGCTCCATTAAGCTTGCAGGCATTGTTTGCTCACACATCCAATTTATCACATACATATTTGTTTGATATTCACAAGGTACCTGAATACAGCCACTCCTCATAATGCCACAGCCTCCACAATCACCTCTTACCTGAACTACAGCAATACTTACTTTCCCACTGTTTTCTAAGCACCCATGCTAGGTTCTAGAATAGCCTGTTTTCCACAGAGTAATCACAAGGATTCTTGTAGAATCACTCTCCTGCTTAAAACCTCAACAGCTTCTCACCACACCTTGAAATAAAATACAGAATTCTTCCTATAGACTCAAGGACCTACATCAGGGGTCAGCAAACTACAGTCCAAGAGCCAAAACCCACAGACGGTCTGCTTTGTGTAAATAAAGTTTTACTGGAACACATCCAAGCTCATTCAGTTACTATTTCCTATAGTTGCTTTAGAATTATAACGGCAGTGCTACGTGGTTGTCTGTTTGGCGCACAAAGCTGAAAATATTGACAGAAAAATGTACTGACACCGTCCCCCCATCTCCATCCCCACCCCCACTACACAAAGGCACCAGCCTCCAAGGTCTAACCCTGGTTCTCTCTGACCTCATGTGCTTCCACTGCCTCCTTGTGGACTCTCCGTCTGCTGCACTGACCTTGCTGTTCTTTAACTACAGCTCCTCCTCGGTCTCTGCGCTTCCCGTGCCTCTGTGTGCTCACACGGTCCCTAAGAAAAGGATTGCCCTCTCCTTACATTCAGGTTTCTGCCCTCAGTACAGAGCCTTCTGCAACCGTCTTATCTAAAACAGCACCCCATCCCTCCACAGACCGTTCGCTACTCTTTCATATAACACAATTTGATCTCCCTTTACCTTTTCTACTCCCTCCCTCCCTCCTTTCTTCCTTTCTGTGATTTCCCACCCTAGAACCTGTTTCATGTAACTGTATCTAGTTCATGGCTAGATGCCCTACACCCAGAATAATGCCAGCACATAGTTGATGCGCCTTCGTTAAAGGAAGGGCTGCGTGTGTGAATGAATCTTCTCTCTCGGCCTGATTCTGGGGCTGCATTTCTCTGACGTTACCTCGGCCATTGCTCACTTTTGTCTCCATTCCCAAGTATTCTACCCACTTCTTTCTCCTCCCAATGCCTTACCAACGGCCCCTTCGCCTTGACCTATTTCTCTGCCCTTTCCTTTCCTTGTCTTCATCAGAAAATACGGGAATGCAACATATCTTTCGGACATGGGCTTTATCCAGTAAAATGACTGTTTCCCTGTGAGTTCCTTTTTTGGCCCCAGTCTACTGGATTGTTCCCATGAACATTTCAGGATTAGCTCATTTTTAAGGAGCCATTCTTTCTGTGTGGGGAAATGTAGACAGCTCGCCCTGCAGATGTGCCTCTCCAGGGAGCTTACCTTTGAACTTTGACGGGCTGTGTTTGCAGACCGTGGGGGGCAGAGTCCTGCTGTGGGCAGGGGACTGGCTGGCTGCATTAGAATGGCAGGCGGTTTTCTGGGTCTCCGGGGTCTCTTCCTTGTCCTCTTACTCCATCAGACGGAGCAGTCAGGTAAGTGTCTGGGCCCTTTGGAATGAAAAGTCCCTGGGTGGGTTGACTCCGCTGCTAAACAAAAACTTGGAAATTCAAGTCCACCCAAAGGTGTCGTGGAGTAAAGGCCTGGCAATCCGCTTTCCCAAAAGCAGCTATTGAAAACTCTGCGGCACACTGGCCGGTGCGCACAGGGTCGCCATGAGTCAGGGTGGACTTAAGGTTGGCTGGTGTTTCGGTGCGTGTTGGTTATCGGGCCCCTTGGAAGTCGTCCACAAGCAGCTTTGGAAAATGGGGCTTGGGAGGAACATGAGGAGCTCCCAGGGACCAGCCATTAGACGTAATTCTCCCTCCTGAGAGAGCTCACTTTTGGCCACTTTATCATTCGGTAGCAAACAGGTTGAAGATGACTATGTAGTTTTCCAAACATTCAACAACAAAAAAAGGTACTTCCCAAAGTAGTTGCCCGGATGCGATGTGTCCACCCAGAGATGTGTCGGGAATGTGTTTGTGAAAGGAAAAGGGAGGGGGAGTACGACGAGGAGGCAGAGGGCACGTCGCGAGCACAGTGAAAGGAGACGGGGAGGAAGGTAGGAGGGTGGGCGGCAAGCGCCTCAGACTCGGTAGCTCTGAGGAAGTTTCCGCAACGGCAGGTCAGGCGTCCTCCACAGGCAGGGCTGGCTGCGGGACGTCTGCGTCAGGCAGAAATGCCGTGGCGCGCCGACCCCTGCCGCGCACAGCCATTGGCTGAGAGCAGTCCAGGGGGCGGAGCCTCGGCGTGAGGACTGCTGCGGAGAACCTGCAGGGGGCGCAGCGCTCAGCTGCCGGCCAGCCGCCTTCCTCACAGCAAGGGCGTCCGCAGTCATCCTTGAAGGCCGCAAATCAAACCACCTGGGAGTCCAATTTTAGGGGCCCTGGTGGCATAGTGGTTACGTATTGGGCTGCGATCCTCAGGGTCGGCTTTCTACTCCTGTATACAGTTACGGTCTCAGACGCCTACAGGGCGTCGCTATGAATCAGCATTGACTCAAATGGCAGCGAGTTGGGAGGGGGGTCACTCTGTTGTTGGCTCCTTTAATGACAGGAGAGAGGTTTTTTGTGGCTTGTCCATCACTTTGCCTGACAAGACTGACTTAGTGAGCAGTTAGCATTACTAGGCTCATAACTGAAATAGAGACATTGGTGATAAAGGTTCTTTTTCACACTTCTGCTTTTGAAAACCTAATAGACGGGTAACGATGCCCGAGGGGGGAGGAGGGCATGGAGTGGAAGGTAGGAATCTGAGAAATGTTGGCATTTTATACAACCAACTTTGAAAAGTTGGAAGTGAAAGTATGTAAGATGTGAGAATGGTTTTAATGGCTATTTCAGTGAATCAAAGGTGCCCTGGGGACGCAGTGGGTTATCCATTGGGCTGCTAACTGCAAGGTCAATAGTTCAAAACCACCAGCCATTCCATGGAAGCAAGCTGGGGCTTTCTATTCAGAACTGCCCGGGACAGTTCTACTCTGTCCTTTCTGGTTGGGATTTATTCGATGGCAGCAAGTTTGGTTTTTGGGGAATCAAGTGGTTTGATTTTCCCTTTGTGAGGAAAGTACGACCTCTGTTGACGTTTTTTAATTTCTACATCATGTTTTATCCCAAAAGTAAATATTATAAATGGCATCAGTATAAAAACTGAGCTATTCTGGTCCCTAGACCTTGAAACCTATGTGGGCTCCCAGTTACTCCCAATGTAGCACAGCATTCCTTTACATCCGTAACCCGAGACTCATGAATTCTCCTTTCCTACTTTCAGCCTTGTCAGTGCCAGCACTGCCTATCCATTGCTCACCCAGATACCAGGGACTCTTCATTAGCACCTCCCTTTCCCACTCTCCATCCAATCAGTCATCATCTCCTGTCAGTTCTTTTTTCCCCATCTCCCCTGCTACCACCGGAATCAGCCACCTCTACCTTTCCTAGACCTGAGTTATTCAGTGTGGTAGCCCCTGGCCACGTGACTTCTGAGCACTTGAAATTTGACCAATCCAAACTGTTTATACAAGTTTAAATTACACATTGGATTTCAAAGATTTAAAACAAAAATAAGAACATTTATTAGAATTTTCATAAATACTTTTAATTAAAATTTTATATCTTTGATAAGGGGTGTTTATTAATATTTTATCTTTGATAATCATGGATGTTTATTAATATTTTAATATTGATTACATGCTGAAATCATATTTTGGATTTATTGGGTTAAGCCATATATTGTTCAAGTTAATTTGCCTGGGTTTTTTAAAAACATTTTGTGGGGGTTTTTTTAATGTGACTACTAGAAAATTTAGAGCTACAGATGGGACACACGTCATATTTTTAGTTGAGAGTAATATCCTGTGTAGTTGGTGTCCTAATTGGTTTCCATGTATCTACTCTTATCTCCAGCTAATCCATTTTCTGTACAATAAATAGAATCTTTTTTCTGGTTAAAAACTTTAGGGGAAAAACCCTTCACATGTTATCTCAATTAAGATTGCTGTTATTTTTGTTGTTTGCTGTCAAGTTGATTCTGACTCATAGCAACCCCATGTGACTGAGTACAGCTACCCCAGGGGTTTTTCTAAGCTGTAATCTTTACAAGAGCAGCTCAACAAACCTTTCTTTCATGGAGCCACTAGGTGACTTTAAATTGCCAACCTGTTTGGATCTCATTGTCCAGTGCTCAGTCTCATGGACACACTTAGCCCTAAGGGAGTCTATATATATATTCTGGGCAAATACATGCCCAGCTGAAAATTAGGTGCTCTAAACAGCAATCTGGTGGTGGGGCAGGAGGAAGTTAAAGGAAACAGAGGAAAGACCTAGGAAGCAAAGCTATGGATAGAAGTATAAGCAGAGGTGTGTACATATGTAAATACATTAATCCATAAAAATAGAGGTATTGGCCTATGTACATATATTTATATGGCAATACACTGAGGTAGTGGATGGACTTC